CTAATTTTGTACTTTTAGTAGAGACAGGGTTTCACCATGTTGACCAGGCTAGTTTCGAACTCCTGACCTCAGGTGATCTACCTGCCTCGGCCTCCCAAGTGCTGGGATTACAGGCATAAGCCACCATGCCCAGCTCAATAAATTTTTAAAAATTGAAATCAGAGAGAAAGGAAAGCGTGAGGAACTGCCACCACCAGCACAGTAGTGCTGGAGCCATGAGGAGATTCGGGCCACCACCCCACCTCCCCTGTGTCCTGCCACCGGCCACCTCTGTCCTTGAACCTCCAACAATCTCTTAAAACACGGTAGATTACTATGAAGTTCTAGGTGAGCAGAGGCATGCCTCATCCAAGGATCTTAAAAAGGTATATCAGAAACTGGCACTGAAGTGGCACCTAGATAAAAGTCCACTAATACTGGCATGGATCTGCTTTTCCATTGTGTCTGAAATGTAAGCCACATAGTGTCGGCCTACTGTGAAGTTAACATTGCCAGGACGGATCTTCTACAGAAACAATTTCAATGTTTTTCAGTACTTAGTAGTGAAAGATATTAATGCATTAATGGTAATAGGTTTCTGGTTTAATATAAATTAAGGGTGTTTTCTAGTTGTGCATGAATGCTGGCAACTTAGCAACTTTTTGACAATTATTTAAATATGTAATGTTAAGCTTAGGTTCCAAAAAGTAAAGCTGGTAAACTGGGTATTTGTCATCTCCTTTAAAGAAGAAAAAAAAAAAAAATGCAAATGTGTTGGTGTATTCTTTCCCAAGTGGCACACAAGAATTGCTTGAACCCTGAAGGCAGAGGTTGCAGTGAGCTGATATCGTGCCACTGCACCCCAGCCTAGGCAACAAGAGCAGAATTTTGTCTCAAAAAAAAAAAAAAATATGTATGTGTCACATCCAAAACAATCTACAGATAAATTTTAACAATAAAAGAGTTTAACAAGGTTAATAGATATAAAAATCAGGTTTTTGTGCACAACTTATCCAAAATCTATGGCTATTGAGTTAAGTTAGGATCAGAGTTAAAACTACCTGCCAAGATAGTTTTGGGATCAAACGACTATGTTTACCATCTGGAGAGCTATTTGCTATCTAGAGGTGAGAGGAGTCTGTACAGTGTCACCGCTGGGCAGATGGGTGCAGCTGGCTGTCCGAAGAGGGGTGGCCATCCCCTCTGCACACTAGGCACAGACAGCGTTGGCACTACCTGGAGATCATGGAGCTGGAGTGGGACTGGCTGGAGGAGGTGGTGGTGGCACTCACCTGTGAGAAGCCACTGTGGCTGGACTCCAGGCTTGTCATGGAACCTCTGAAATCCTCGGGGCCGATCACCTCGTGTAGTACATCACTTTACATTTGTGCAAAGAGGCCTGCAGGGATGCGAGCACGTTGTCCACCCGGGGCAGGCTGCTGGCAGCGCATGTGGGCATGCTGTGGCATTTCACTACAGGCTGTAGAAGCCCGGCCACCTGGTCACTGGGGAAGCCCTGCGCGCTTTCTCCTTCTTTGCAGATCAGAGGCAATCATCATGCTGTAATAGCAGCCCAGCTGCCAGACTTTGTCTATGAGCTGCACATTGATCCCACCTGGAGAGGTGATGCTGTGGGCCCCCAGGGAGTCCTTTTGGGATGGCTGTGGTGACCTCTTGTCCCTTTGCACACATCAAAATCCCAAATGATGACTGAAGAGGCGTCCACAATCCGAATGAAAATCTCTTGGGGGCCTCCTTTGAAGATGCTTACAGACTGGTAAATGCTCTCAGTCCAGAGCTTGTGGTCTTCATCCTCGAGCTCCTCTGCAGTGCAGTACAGAAATCTGAGGACGAATTCACCCTCTGGCACTTCACACATGCACTCCCCACTCAGGAAATCTGGAATAATCTTTTTGTCAGTGTAATCCAGCAGGCCTCCAGGACCCTGGTAGTCATTTCCTGTATAAAGGAGGAATTTCCTTCTGGTGTTGTCATCAATGAATGGACTAACCAGCATCCAGAGCACAGGAAACACCCTGGGCGCCTGCAGGATGAGAAGGCGGCCCAGTGTCTCAGGGTAATTGGCTTCCACCACCTCAGTGATCTGCAGCAGCGCTTTGACACTGGGTCTCCACAAGTGGCGCATGTTCAGCCCTTCAAAGTCCACCAGGCAGGTCCATGAACTGATAAGCCGACCAAAGACTTTTGTATTCTCCTCATATCACCTTAGCCCTTCTTCATTTATGGAGAGAATGTATCTCAGCAAGGCTTCCTCCCTGAGTGCTCTCACCAAGCCTTTGCTGTCCATCTGCCCCAGCCTGAGCACATAGAGGGGCTACCCATCTTTATCGTGATGATGCCAGCCTCCCATGTAGAAATCCTGAAGGACCTGTGGAGGGGTCCAGGTGTCAAGAATGCAGTCTACCTGGTGCTCCTTCCTCCATGTCAAAGATTGACACATGATCTCTCTGGCCTTGTCAATATTAAAATCTCACCCAGGTAAGAACTGAAGAATATGCTCATCTTTTGGAATTTTGCCCTTGTGGGTCTCCTGGAGCCACCGGCAAAGTCTAATGAGGCAGCTCCCCTGCAGTGGAGTCAAATCGTCCAGGTACCTCTTGATGTAGTCGACATCTAGTTTGTTGTCATGGGTGCCCACCACAGGCTCAGGTGTACTGGGGCTGCTGAGGGCATTGCCACTCAACCCCTCCTTAAGGGCAGGATCTGGGATGATGACGGCCATGGATGCTGCTTGTTTCTTGCAGGATGATAAAGATGTCTTTGAAGAGGGTGTGATGGAAGGTGGAACTCAATGGGGCACAAATTTTGAAGTCTATTTTACTTCATATTAACAAAATGTCACCAACTTTATTTTGATTATTTCTTCCTGTCTCTTCAACAGCAAGTAAAGGTAACACACATTGAAAACCTGAGATGTTTCCAAACATTTTCCCTAAAACTATAGCCATGCTGTTATTACATAGTCTTGGTCCCAAGAGGTGTAGATAATAATTTGACCAATTTTTCCACTATCTCTAAAAATTTTAGATCATCACACCCTGTGATTACAACCCCTCTAGTCATCCAGTTTCATATTTCAGAGTATCTTACCCTTAGCACTCCACTTACCGTACTGAATTCTTCCTAATTAGGAATTCATTTTATAAAAATAACAGAAAACTCAAGTGTCCTAAACAAAATGTGGCTGGTTCAGCAGCTGGAAGACATTGGGGTTGACATCTCTGCAGTGTCCTCTGCCTTTCCTTCATTATCACAAAATGGCAGATGCAGCATCAGCCCTCCTTCATCCCATTCTATTTATCAAACCCCTGTCCTCAACACTCAGGAGAGTTACTCTCTTTCCCAGCCCTGCAGTATTAGGCCCTTTCAAAACATACTGAAATTGCTAATAGTATAATGTGAAACTTTTTGAATAAGGTTCAGATGACTTTGGATTTCTGGATCTTTGGTTATGTAGGCTATAACACTTGTCCACTATGCAAGCTCCTCCTCAACTTTAAAATTCAGCACAAGCATCCTGTCTTCTTTGAGGCCTTCCTTGATTCCCACTTTCCAACAACAGTTCTTTCTCTAAACTCTCTCTTTTAGAACGTGGCACTTTATATTGTCTCTCCCCTCTAGACAGCAGATAAAAAGTCCTTCGAAATCCCAGAGATAGCCCCACGGTTCTTCATGAGAACGAGAGAAGGTAAACTTTGTTTCTATGGCCACGGCAGAAGTCTCAAACGGTCCACCCATGAGTTATTGGATGCCACTGGTCTCTGGCCTTCTGAACCAGCTCCCTGGAACGAGACGATCTTTATTAAATAAGAGCTCCAGTGTGCCTAAAGTTTACCTTTATTCCAGAAGGAACCAAGTAAAACCTTCCAGACAAGGCTTGATCAGTGTGAACACATAGAACTGTTATTTGGATTATATATTGCCTTCACTTCTTCAAGCATTTATGGCCAGCGTCTTGGAGGACTTAAGGCTGACAAGGTTATTGGGCACATAAACACTATCCCACTACAGTCTTTTCAACCCAAATGTCATGAATCTCTGATGGTTTACAGACGCATCGTCTTTAAGCCCAACCTAGAAAAACATGTTTTTGAGAGCCACAGGATAAATATCCTGAGCCACCTCTACTTAGTAGAGGGTTCCAAAGAATGTAACAACAGTTCTATAGTAGGCCAGGCATGGTAGCTCAGGCCTGTAATCCCAGCACTTTGGAAGGTCAAGGTGGGCAGATTGCTTGAGCCCTGGAGTTCAAGACAAGCCTGGGAAACATGGCAAAACCCCATCTCTACAAAAAATATAAAAATTACCCAGGTGTGGTGGTATGTACCTGTAGTCCCAGCTACTCAGGACGCTGAGGTGGGAGGATTGCTTGAGCCCTGGAGTTTGAGGCTGCAGTGAGCCAAGATGGCACCACTGCACACCCGCCTGGGTAACAGAGCAAGACATTGTCTTAAACAAAAACGAGTTGTAATTCTATAGTAAAACCTTCCTTCTCTCTAGTCTGTCAGGGACATTTAGCAATTGTTAGAGTTCCTTGACTATTCCAAAGTCCTTCCACAGCTTAGGAACCCAAACCACATTCCACCTAAGGGAGTTAGTGGAATAGAGCATAATAGTTCTTTAAACAGTTCACCCTGAGTATATCAGCAAAATGATCTTAACTTAATGTCTAGCACTTCTGGGATTCTTTCCAGATTCTATCTTCTCCCCACCTTGAGCTACTAGCCGTACATGGCTGGGCAGGAAGAAACACAGGAGTAAGATAATAATTCTGGGAGACAGAAGTAACCTAATCAATAGTGAATTTGTCTTTATTATGGTGTAGGAATATCTCACTGGCCTTTACCAGAGCTTGAATTAAATATTCTATGCCTCTTTCCTCCAAACAACTTTCTGAATCAAAATTTATCTTCTCAGGTATCTTAACACTTAAAAAGTACTATGCTAGAAGACTGGGGCATCATTAGAAAGGAACGAAGTTTATTCTGAATGAACAAAGTAGCTCTCTGTTTAAATGTCAGTCTCAAGTAATACTAGTAACTAACACTTATGTAGTTTCCTATGTACCAGGCACTGTTCTCAGAACTTTATCTTTTTAACGCCTTTTATTCTTTACACCCCTATGGTAAAGTAGATTCTGTTGCTGTTCTCATTTTATAAATAAAGATACTAAATCCTAAAAATGTTAGGTGATTTTTTTCAAGGTCACATTGACTGGTGATTAGCGACAGAGCTGAGAATTAAACTCAGGTAGTCTGGCACAGAATCTGTTTTCCTAATCTCTATGCTACTCAGTGTGGAATCTGCCTGACTCACCTGCCAAGTTAAGGCCCAAGCCTAGGATGTGAAGTTCTAACCAATATACTGATTCTAACAGGCCCTGACAGCAGCTCAGGGCCCCAGCAGTAATTCAAGCAGATGATCCTTCATTGCCCAAAATGTATGGTACATGAAGAATAACTCAAAGACCTATGGAAAAGTTTTCACTAATGCTCAAATCATTTCAGATTTTAGTGCCTTTGCATGTGGTTGCAATAATTTTTTCTCCACCCTGCAAACTCCTACCCCTGTCAAATTCAGGACAAGCATCTACCCTCTGGAAGGCCTTCCCTCACTGCCACCCCTAAAGGCAATCCTTCTGCACTCTCTATTGTAGCATTTGGCACCTTCTATTAAATTTATGCTGGTTTTTAATCTCTCGAGGTGGTGAACTCTTTGAAAATGAAACTCTTTGAAATCTTTGTCTCTTCATTTGTGTGTTGAGAATAGTAAAATTACCTCTCCTATGCGAATTGACTGACTGTAAAGAACATACTTGGCATTGTTAGTAAAGCATAGCTACTATAAAAGTATAATTTTGTATCCTTGGGTAGTTGGGACACTGTTAGCATACAATATACATTTAATAAATGTTTTCTATGTGAGTACAAAATAATATCTCCAAAAAGCCAACTGGAGATACACTTTAAAAGTATTAGTTTACCTTGAAGATCTTGTTGTAAAAAAAAATTTTTTTTAAATATTAAAGTTCTTTAATGAACTGCTAGCCTTGATTTGTCAGTTTCACATATTTACATCTCACAGTCTGGCCAGGCATAGTGGCTTACGTCTGTAATACCAGCACTTTGGGAGGCCGAGGTGAGAGGATCACTTGGGCCCACGAGTTTGAGACCAGCCCGGGCAACCTAGAGAGACCCTGTCTCTACAAAAACTTTAAATATTAGCTTGGCATGGTGGTGCACACCTGTGGCCCCAGCTACTTGGGATGCTGAGGTGGGAGGATCACTTGAGCTCAGGAGGTGGAGGCTGCAATGAGCTGTGTTCACGCCATGGCACTCCAGCCTGGGTGACTGAGCAAGACCTTGGCTCAGAGCTAAATTTGGCAGTCCAAATTGTCATATACCATATTGGTGTCATTTCATTTTTCCAGTAATATTGGAAGGGGATGCTGTGCTCAAGACTGAAATTGAAAGAAAAAAGCATTAGGTTAATGCAAAAGTAATTGTGGTTTTTGTTTTTGTTTTTTTTTTTTTGCCATAAAAGTAATAAAAAAGCAATTACTTTTGCACCAACCTAATAAATATATTGAGGAGAAGATCCCCTTGCTTTTATTTCATTAGGACATTTAGTCATCCTATCTTTTTTTTCGGAGACAAAGTTGTGCTGTTGCCCATGCACTAATGCAGTGGTATGATCTTGGTTCACTGCAATGTCTGCCTCCCAGGTTCAAGCAATTCTCATGTCTCAGCCTCCCGAGTAGCTGGGACTACAGCCATGTGCCACCGTGCATGGCTAATTTTTTGTATTTTAGTAGAGACAGGATTTCACCATGTTACCCAGGCTGGTCTCAAACTCTTGAGCTCAGGCAGTCCACCCACGTTGGCCTCCCAAAGTGCTGGGATTACAGGTGTCAGCCACTGCACCTGGCCATAGTCACCTTACATTTTAGTAATTAGGACAGGCCGGGCGCGGTGGCTCAAGCCTGTAATCCCAGCACTTTGGGAGGCCGAGGCAGGTGGATCACGAGGTCAAGAGATCGAGACCATCCTGGTCAACATGGTGAAACCCCGTCTCTACTAAAAATACAAAAAATTAGCTGGGCATGGTGGCACGTGCCTGTAATCCCAGCAACTCAGGAGGCTGAGGCAGGAGAATTGCCTGAACCCAGGAGGCGGAGGTTGCGGTGAGCCGAGATCGCGCCATTGCACTCCAGCCTGGGTAACAAGAGCGAAACCCCGTCTCAAAAAAAATAATAATAATAATTAGGACAAAGTTAAAAATAGCCCTAATTTTTCCTTTTTTTGTTCCTTTCCGTGCCTCATCATTTAAGCCTGAATAAAAAATAATGACTGCTTTCAAAAATTTATTTTATAAACTGATTTTGTTATAATTATCAACACAACAAAAATGTCAGTGTATCCCAAAAATTTCTAAGCTCCTTAACATGGTCCAATTTACTGGATTATTATTAATACAATTTAAAATGTCAGAGCAACAAAAGAATTTGAAAAATTCCTTTGAGAAATGGGATTTTACCTACTGGAAAAAGTTATTCTGACTCTTAAGTATCTCTTGATCTGTATTTTATTACTTTCTTGAATTCCTTACCAGTATCTCTAAAACTCTCCATACTATTAATTGCATATACATATAAACATTTAGTACAAAGTTGTTTATTTTACCTTAATTCCTTTGAAAGGAATAAAGAAGCCATTCCATATTATTTTATAAAGCTTTTTTTTTTTTTTTTTTTGAGACAGGGTCTCACTCTGTCACTCAGACTGAAATGCAGTGACATAATAACAGCTCACTGCAGCCTCAACCTCCCAGGCACAGGGGAGTGATCTTCCCACCTCAATCTCCCAAATAGCTGGGACTACAGGCATGACCCACCACACTCAGCTAAATTTTTGTTTTATTTTTTTGGTAGAGATGGGGTTTCACCATGTTGCCTAGGCTGGTCTCAAACTCCTGAGCTCAAGCATCCTCCAGCCTCAGCCTCCTAAAGTGCTGGGATTACAGACTTGAGCCACCATGGCTGGCCTGTTTTCTTATTTAGGGAATTTCATGTAGTTATAAGTAATTTAGAGTTTATTTTACTCTTTATATATTTAGGGAACCTGAACGTTATTGCAAAAGAAGTCAATATTGAACTTGAGATAAAAATCTTCATAATCTGTAGCTATTCATTTCACAAACTTAGTAAATGCCTATTCTGTATCAAGTATTATACTAAGTAGTCAGGATACAGGACTACAAATAAAAGCATCATGGCCAAGCTCGGTGACTCATGCCTGTAATCCCAACACCCTGGGAGGCCAAGGCAGACAGATCACTTGAGGTCAGGAGTTCGAGACCAGCCTGGCCAACATGGTAAAACACCGTATCTGCTAAAATACAAAAAAAATTAGCTAGACATAATGGCACATGCCTGTAATCCCAGCTACTCAGGAGGCTAAGGAGGGAGGATTGTTTGAACCCAGGAGGTGGAGGTTTCAGTGAGCTGAAATCATGCCACTGCACTCCAGCCTAGACAACAGAGTGAGACTCCATCTCAGAAAAAAAAAAAAAAAAAAAAAAAAAAGCATCAGTGGTGATAAGTACTATTAAAAAACAGGGCCAGGTACGGTGACTCATGCCTATAATCCCAGCACTTTGGGAGGCCGAGGTGGGTGGATCACGAGGTCAGGGCATTGAGACCATCCTGTCAACATGGTGAAACCCTGTCTCTACTAAAAATACAAAAATTAGCTAGGTGTGGTGGCACGCACCTGTAATCCCAGCTACTCAGGAGGCTGAGGCATGAAAATCAATTGAACCTGAGGTTGCAGTAAGCTGAGATCACACCACTGCAGTCTAGCCTAGCAACAAAGCAAGACTCTGTCTCCAAAAAAAAAAAAAAAAAAAAAAAAAAAAAAAAAAAAACTCTGCTCCAAAAAAAAAAAAAAAAAAAAAGAAAAAGAATGCAGATTAAGGGGGGCAGAGGGTGAAGGTGATGGGATGTTCTATAGATCATGTAAGTATCTCTCAAAAGGTAGGTGACTTGAGCAGAATCCTGAAGGAAGCAAGGAAGTGAGTCACACAGACACTGAGAAAGAGAGCTCCGGGCAGACACATTAGCAAGTGCAAAGGACGTGAGGCAGAAAT